TAGGTTAGTTCACTGAACTGCCTCAGGAATTATAAATTAATTAAACATTCAGAGCAAACCTCTCTTCCTTTTATCTTCAGACAATAGAAAAGCTATAGGGAAAACTAAAGGGGTGAAAACCCTGTCATTCTAACAGAGAGCTCCTTGCTAATCCTGCTTCCTCTTAAGACATACCTTTTCTACAGAATTCATTCCCTTCTCAGAAGTCTCTGCATTTTGCCCTGTTACAAATTCACTGCTGGAAAGAGACTATCATCTTTCTTTCAACTAAGGTCAATGAATTCTTCCTGAACAGGTCTTAACAAACCTAAATATTTCCCTATGTTCCTATGAACTCTCTCTGAGGAGGAGTAAGGAAGCTCATTTCCAGCTTACCCTGATAAGCAGCATCTGTAGCCTTCCTCTTGACTTCCGCCTCCTCCTCCTCCATTTTTTTCTTTCTGTATAAAGAACCAAAACCTACTGTCACACAGTGTCCCAGTTCCCCCAGTTCCTCCTGCATCTTGCTGACCCCCACCCCATTATCTCCAGACAACAGCGACCTGCCTCTGCGGACTCAGGCTCAAATCCTCCGAGGAGGGAAGCAGAGTCAGAAGTCAGTCAGAGAACAACACACTTGGCAAGAAATCCCACTTCCAGCTGATTATCAAAAGGGAGGAAGCAAGCACGATGTTGCAAGCCATCACCGAGTTCTTCACTGAGATACTCCAAAAGATGTTCCACACAAGCTGATGCCCCCCAATCTAAACTAAGTCCACCCTCTGAGGCGAAAGCATCTGCCCAGCTGCCCTGTTCTTCTCTCTCGCAGTGTACATGGAACAAGAGGTGTCTGACACAGTGTCAGGCAACTACAATCTCAGAAGCAAGCATAAGATGGAAATAATAACCCACATCATAATCTCATTGCACAGCTCCTCCAGTCTGTTATCCATGTGTCCAGCCTGGATCAGCTCTGCATCCTTCTTGAGTTGCCTGTAATCAGAAAATCTTCTTACTTACTTATCACTGAACAATATGCCCTAAGCAGCATTTTCACCCCAAGCACCATCCCACTTAAGCCACTTCTTTGAGGACTCTCAGGTGCACCCCAGCTTAGTGCCTCTGCCACGTACCTGTATTTCTCCTGTGTTTCTTTAATCATTTTCTTCAACTCCTCAACTCGTTCTGCAGTCAGTTTCCGCACAATAACATCTTCCACAGTTTCCACAACTTCTCCTTTCTCACCACGTTTTCTTCTATAGAAAAGAGAAAAACAATAGTTCAGACTTAAAACACAAAAAACCCCGGTTCTCCTTTCATAAATGGCTTCTGTTGTCGTCCCTGAGACAAACATGCACAAAAAAATTAAATCAACCTCCTCTTCCTATTTCTCTTATATAACATCGGACAGCACAATGTTCAAATAATGTCTTCTGAAAAGTTCATCTAATTCTTAATTGCATCCAGTGTTAAAGACTTCAGGAATAGATCAAAGATGCAAGCCCATGGCAAATTCTCAACCTGAAAAGAACCAATCACTCAACTTCAGAGAAGATTCTTATTACCCATGAACAAACACCTATTTTTTTTCCTCAAAAACTCCATTAAGTCTTTTGTCCTTGCAGCTCTAGTGCTTAAGATCATTCATCACTATCACAAATACTAATTTTAAACATCCTGCCTTTAATTTAATTTGATGTGAAGTCTCAAACCAAAATGCGTGGATTTAGGACTGAGAAATATCTGAGACCACAAAGCTGTTGTGATAGCATTAATAAGACAATTATAAAAAAAACCACTACAAAACAGAGACACATACAAAACATTTCCCCTTCTCACTCTTGCTATCTTTTCTACCTCTATTCTGAATGGTAATTTTAAGTGGAAAGCTTCTGATCAGTAAGATCAATATGTAGTGTTTTATTCCAGCCAAATAAATGTTTCATTTTGCTGCATTAAGCCCCCATATGCACACTGCAACTCTTACAAATAGAGCTCTGGCAAAGGGGCCCCAATGGCCATGCCATCTATTGCAATGACAGTAGGGGTGCATGGAAGACACTAACAAGTACGCAGTGACCAGTTTTAGAACCATGTAATACTGAAATACTTTGGTCTTAGGGAACAAAAGGAGACAAGACAAGGAGATATGGGAAGCATGTTCAAAAACTATCTTGGGCTTGCCAATTTCCCCCACCTGCCATACCCTGATCCCACTGTCCAGCCACACCAGCTACAACAACCAAATTCCCTCATTCCTGTACACTCCTTCCGGGAGGAGCACTATCAAGTCCTTTGCTGTAAGAATCAACAAGTCCACCCAAAATTGCTGCAGACTGCACTTGCTTCAGACTTTGTACTCACTTAGGGGTCTCCGTGGTCTCCAAGAGCTCCGAATACTGAGATGCACAGTGCTAAAAAGAAACAAAGAAAGTCAGAGGATGCTGAAGAGTCACCATCAGCCGATGCCTATCAACAAAGCCTACCGGGCACTTGTTCCCACTTCAGCAGTCTAATGCTTTATGAACATATCCAACAGTCTTCTCCAGAGTTTCTCCTGCAGCTATAATATAGTGTAGCTCAAAACAAGGAAGTGTACCCACTCTTTTACTCTAGCACTGCCCAGACTGATCTTCAAAACAAAGCTAAAGAACAGATGCTTCCAGCTAACAATTTAGAAATAAAGGCAAGCACGATTAGGAAAATTGTAGCTGTAACGTTTCCATCTCTGAACACGAACCAAAATATTTCAATGGAGAAGACAAAATAACATCATATCAAGGCCAGTTTCATAGGTTAACAGAAACAGTACGCAAGATAAAAAACCCAGCTTCTCCTCCCTTGATTCTCAATCGCTTTCTGTCCCTTATACAAAAAATCCCAGGTGCTGCCAAACAGCAGGACACACCAAAATACATGGGCATCTAGAAATCCCTGGGGCAAACAATTCCACAGCTTAATTACATGCCTGGTGAAGAACAATCTCTTTTGGCTTGCTTTGAACCCGTCTCCTGTTAGTCTTACTTAATAGCCTCTAAGTCTTGTACTGGACAAAGCACTGAACAATTAATCATTATTCATCCTCAACACACCACTTCTGATTGTGCAGACAACTGTTGTACTCCCGTTACTCATCCCTTTTTTATGTTAAGGGTTGTACCTTACTTAGCCACCCCTTACAAGGAAGCTGTTTCATGTCTTTGATCACCCTTGTGTTTTTCTCAACTTTATCCAACTGTACTGTAAGCTCTAAGTTAATTTCAGAAACAAGAAAATTATTTAATCTAATTTAAAGAAAATTATTTTTTAAAAACTATAGTTTTGCTATCTTTTTAAAAAAAACAAGAAATACATTCTCTTAGGCAGCTTAGTCTTACATACCCCATGCAGAACTCATTTTTTTTCCAAGATCCAAGTGTCAGTATCTTACCTTTTGGGAAAACCAGTCAGGTGGGCGTCCTGGCTCTGCAAAAGGTTTGATAGCTCTGCTGACTGAGACCCTACAGGAGAGAAACAGCGTCACTGTCAACTTCCTTTCTTCCCCAACCAATAGGCAGAGAGAAGGCTTGTCTTCACATTCAGCACTGAATAGCACCCATAAACACAGAATCACAGAATCTTCTAGGTTGGAAGGGACCTTAAATCATCTTGTCCAACCATCAACCTAACTGACAAAAATAGACACCCACACAACAAACAAGGAGCATCATCACTAAACCATACCTCCCAGCACTACATCAACCCGTCTTCTGAACACCTCCAGGGATGGTGCCTCAACCACCTCCCTGGGCAGCCCATTCCAATGGCTGATAACCCTTTCAGTGAAAAAATTTTTCCTAATATCCAGCCTGAAAACACAATGAACAGAATTGTTGTGTTTGGGAATTGATATGAGTACAGCCCTTGGACTCAAAAATATTTGCCTGCTCCTAATACACAAGAGCTTCACTTTTTTTCATTTGAAAAGCAAATTTCTAGCTTGTGACAACACCATTACGTTTCCACAAAAACTACTCTGGTGAGGGAGAAAAGGCAACAAGACAGAGCTACAGGTACAGAAGCAATACACAGGAGTCTTGTTATCAAACAGCCTCCTTAATTACAATTCATCTTTCCCAATTTACGTTGGAATAATGCTACTCTTTGTTCTGATTAACACACTTCTGTCTTCACACAGTAGTTATGGAAGAAGCAAAAAGCCTGTCAAGGTACAGCTCTAGCACTTCCATCTTTGGTAGAAAAACTTTGTTTTGTACAGAAAGCTCACAGAAAGCAGGCGTGTTTATGACTTAGCTGTTGCCCAACGGACCGGCCCAGTGAAAAGGCACACATCGGTACAGCACAGCGCCCCGGGAGCGAGCCCGGTGCCTGTCTGCACACACCGAAGGCAGCTCAGCGCTACCGACGGACAGGCCCCTCAACCGCGCCCCATTCCCTTACCAGTTCTGGTCCCCGCTCCGCATGACGGAGGAGGCCAGGCAGAGCTTCTCGCGGATGGACCAGGGCTCGGTGGGGCCGGCGCTCAGCAGCTTGTGCTCTGCCGGGAGAGGGGGAAGGAGTGCAGGGACCCGCCGCCACGGGAGCCCCGGGGACGCCGTCAACGGGAACCCCGGCACCGAGGGGAACCCCGCCCACCACCGAGGGGAACCCCGCCCCGCATAGCCCCGCCCCTCCCCGCGCGCGGCCCCACAACCGTAGCCCCACCCTTCCCCAGGTCCGTTGGCCC